TTTTGACTGGCAATGTACATTGCGTGCATTGTACATTACCAATTTTTACAGTCAAGCCAGTCCTGTAAAGATGACAGTTAATTTTCACCAAAGACTGATTTCTGGCATGGATTCGGTGGAAAAGCTTGCAGATTTTTGACAGTTCCTGAACTTTCTCACCAGACGCATCTCAAGCCTGGGGCACTGGGGGTTGAAGCCCTGAATTAATCCAAACAAGCCCCCAAATGATTGGAATAGCTCAAAACCTTTGACATTTTGAGAATCCCACACAACAGTGCTAGTAAATTTCCCCAAAACTTACTTAGTGCTGCCAGGGTCATAACTACAACGGGAGAAAATTCAGTATGATGACCCTCGGATGGGTTAGGGCTTTGGGATAAGACCCAGAAGTCTTAAGATACCAACGAGACCCCTGTGTTTCACTGAGAAATCAAAATAGCAAGTGCGCCCTGAAGTACAGAAGCCTTACTTGGGAGTGAATTTGTCTTCCTGATTGAACTACTATTGTCTGTAGATATGGCAGCAGTCTGATAAATGGTTATAAATATTTATTATCTTTTTATACTTTAAATCCTCATCGGTTATTAAACATTAATTCAGTAAAGTTTACATTACCATAAGGGCAATATGAGTACTTCATAGTTCTTTGGCTTTAGTTAAGTTTAAGGTAGTTTTTTTAAATACAATTTTAAGGAGATTTTTTTAATAATAAATTTATCTGTACAACCATTCTTGTTCCTTTTCACCTAGAAAGAAGATTAAAGTAAAACTGGGTGGGTAGTCTAAAAGGAAATGTAAAAATTCTGGGGTAAAAGTTCAGACTTTTAAGCTACTAGCTCATGAACACTTCTTCGTCATAAACCAAGGTGGCAGTATTGAGCCAGACCTTCGCAGCGATTGGCTCACACACACATGCGCCCAGGAACGTACACATTTCGCAGAGGCTGCCGTCCGGAGGCACACACGCGCTCGCGTCATTGCATCACCGCTCTCGCGTGTCAGCTGGTCCGGAATCAACGGGCAGGTTATCGGGGAGAGATAATGACCAGGTACTCGGAAAAAAGCCATAAAACAGGGAGGAGGGGATTTATGGAGCTTTTGTGGAAAAGTACCGCGATTCGTGCTGTACACTCTGTGCCTTTTGGAAGGTGCATGGAGCAGAAATGCTGCATTTACTAAATAACATGCCCGTCATTTGTACATATATTCATATCACATGCATAGACGCTGCATCTTTAATCGTCATTCCAATACAGGGTCGATTCTTGGATTTGACCTCAGAAGAAATATACGCCATATACGCCCCAATTAATAAAATTTGCCAAGTGGGACGAATGAAATATATACAAAAAAAAAATGGGACAAATTGCTAAATGGTTTTAGAATGATAATTTTCAGAGGGTATAAGACTAAAAGCAGGATCTTGCGGACAGAGACTCCTGATCTCCATTAGGAAGGCTGATGATGTAGCTTTAAGGCTGAAGCCAATAAGGCTGATAATGTAGCTTTAAGGCTGAAGCTAATAAGGCTGATAATGTAGCTTTAAGGCTGAAGCTAATAAAGCTGATAATGTAGCTTTAAGGCTGAAGCCACTATCTTTGTGTCTCCACATCCCTCCCTAACATATTTGGGCATTTACCAACAGGAATCAGTTTTCCATCTTTTCAATATAAACATATAAATATGTTTTTTTATTTTATTTTAATGATTGAAACTGTATGATTGAAAGTCGTCACACTACATCAGCTATTCCAAAAGCTGAAATTACACTGTAAATAATGCAATTTCAGTTCCCATCTTTCTGTTCTGTTGAAGGCTCTGCTTTTCCATTGCCTTACATGCATCTCCTAACCATGCAGGCTGACAGTGAATTCTCAGTGAAAGATCTTGGTGTTGAAATGTCGCCTTCGGTCTCCCAGTTTCACTAAGAGATTCCCTCTCTCGCAGACATGAATGTCTGTTACTCCAGAGCTAATGCTTTGAGCTGTAGATCCTAACTAAACTGATAAGAGGCTCTGTGTCTGCATGCTGTATCTCTGACTCTTGTGTTCAATTGTGTCTTGTCCAAATGTCACTGACAAACGGAAATGAGTGAGGACAGGTCGGGGCTCTGATGCGTCTGTTCAGCACTCTGGGTGGTACTGTGCGGCCCAGCCGATTACGACTCTCTGCCCCTGATCGGTAGGTTGCTGGTTTGAATCCCGTGGCCGGCAGACTGATACCGCCATTTGGCCCCTGACCGAAGCCCTTCACCCTCAGCTCCGGGGCTGCTGCTGGCTGGATGGCCCTGTGCTGTGACCCCCCAAGCTTGCCCTCACCCGTCTGTATGGTTCTCACGGAGAGCAGGATGTAGTAAAGAGAATTAACCCACAAGGATGAGTAATGTATCACTGTTCGAATCACTCATGCTCAGGAATATTTTTCCAAGAGGTAATCATAGACGCTGCTCAAATTTAAGCTGTGAAATGTGATATGGACATCGATGTCCCAGGCAGGGGCGCCGTAAGGGGGAGGAAAGCTAGGACGATTCCAAGGGCCCCTGAGTGACAGGGGCCCTAAAAAATTAGGAAAATAACTGGATTGGTTTGGACTGGGGGGCCTAATATGATATGCTTTCATGGGGCCCAAAATCTCTAGCAGCGCCCCTGGTCCCAGGCTCCTCTCATCGCCAGGCAAACGGTCAACAATATTGGTAACAAATTCTGTGAATGCCACACATTCATAACACATGACAATGCAATCATAAAGCATTATACACATGCCTATAAATATTTATAAAAAGGTGTACATTATAGCTGTTTATTATGCATTATGAATGCTTTATGAAGCTCTCATCTATCATGCACAATAGATATCTTCCAAATGCAGCACAAAGCATCCTTAATGATTATACCTACTATTATAATGCATTATGAAGGTATCTATAGTGCATTATAGATGAGAGCTTCATTGAATCTTATGAAGTATTATAATCACTATAATGCCTTATGACAGTCATTAGAAGATGGTGTAATGCTTTATTATTATACTGAACATTGTAATGCATTATGAAGGTAGCTACTGTGCATTATAGATGAGAGCTTCATTGGAGCTTCTGAAGTATTTTAATCAACACTGTAATGCCTTACGACGGTCAGTAGAAGATGCTGTAATGGTCTATTAATTATACCAGCCTTTATAATGCATTACGAAAGTATCCATAATGCATTATAGATGAGAGCTTTACATAAAGTGTTACCACAATATGTTCAAAGCTGCTCTGTAATGTCCATCAAGCACCATTGGTGACTGCATTGCAGGGTGGAAAATCAGTGTCTCTCCTGGTAATCTTGATCCAAACTCACTTCCTAATCTTTGGAAAAACCAAGATCTCAATGTTATTGTGAGTTTACGGCAAGTTGTTGAAAATGCGTGGTTCTCCAACCACCTCTAACACTCCTGTGAGTCCATCTTCCTTTACGGTTAGGCGAGTTTGAGCTACGGTGAGGAAACAGACAGTACAGGTTATAACATGCCTCAAAATATAACAACACCTCTGTCCCAGGGTGGTACAGTGGCAAGACTGTGAGGCAAGGAGACATGAAACCAGACAAAGATTATTTAGAAATTTACTTCAGTGAATTGCTAATGTGTGTGTATATGTGGTTTATGTACATATTACATTGTGGGGACCCAATTGTCCCCACAATGTCATAAAAACCTGCTATTTTGACCTTGTGGGGACATTTTTCCGGTAGGGGTTAAACTTGTATAGTTGGGATTAGGTTTATGTCCATATAATTGAATGTAAAGTCCCCACAAAGATATAGAAACCTCATCGCTCTCTCTCTCTCTCTCGCTCTCTCTCTGTATGTGTTGAATTACACAGATGACAATGGAGATATGACTGAATACTTTGTATTTAGTTCTTTGTAATACGATTCCAGTGGTTACATTTATCTTAAAGCCCTGTGCAGTGCTCCAGTTTCCTGAATAAAAAAATGCATTTTTGTAAATGAAATATTCACAAACTAGCACACTTCTGTGCTGCTTGGTGAGAATGTCCACATGAGCTATTTCACGGAGAATAGTTTCGAATATGAATATCAGCAGCTCATAACACACTGAACCCGCAAAATTGCTCCAGGGAGATGAAATTGATTGTAATTGAACTGGAAATGATTCAAGTCCGCCATTATCGAGTGTGTATATTTAGCTTTGTCAGTGTGTTTAACGGTGAGTGCCAGAGAGAGAGAGAGAGATAAAGAAAGAAAGAGAGAGATATTGACTATCACCACCTTCTTCTGCGTTACACTCTGTAATGTAGAGATCTTATCGTATGCAGAGAAATCTTATCATTTCATCCAATGCAACTAGAAGTGGAATTATACTAAAGAAAAGATAATTTCACGCTCAAATATATACAGTACCAGTCTAAAGTCTGGACACACCTGGACACAATCAATGGTTTTTCAACAAGAAAATGACCCTAAGCTCATGTTAGGGTTATGTAAGGTCTGTACTATAGTGTGAACAAGGACAGAGATGCTGAGATAGATGAGCTGGTCCCCACAATCCCCTGATTTAAACCCTACAGAGCTGGATTGGGATGAGTTCAATCGATGAGTAAAAGCAGTTTCTGTGGAAACTCCTTCAGGACTGAAGGAGAACATTCCAGCAGGCTACATCTGGAAGCTGGTTGAAAGAATGCCAAGGGTCTGCAACGCCGACAAAAGGGGGCTGTTTTGGAGAGTGTACAAGTCGAGATGTTGATCACTTCTCTTGGTCGTAAAAGCAGGTGTGCGCAGATCTTTGACTGCCATTTTAAATGCACGTTTCTGTCTGCGTTAAAGCAATTGGCAATTTTCATCTAGCCATTTTGAAGGTGCAAGGAAAAAATTATGCAATAGATGCAAAAGTTGCAGGTTTTTTCATCCATCTTTCCATTTCACATACTTTCGAATGGCTCACAACCAACCAATGCAAACCAATGCAGTGACAGCGGAAACCCACAAAATCGGAAGCCTTCTAGCAGAAAGGCACAGAAATATTTATTTGTTTTTGTTTCCTTTAAATTTTATAACACGCAATGCTGTTCAGAAGTGCAGAAGGACAACATTATAACAAGCATCCTGTGTTTCACAGGACGCTTGTGTTTCTGGTTTCAATGCGTGCTTCACACTTTCAAAGGTCACAATCTATTTTAATCGTAAGCTCTTGAGCTGTCATAGCGGAGTGAATAGTGATAATCCCAAGTCAAGTTCAGTGAAAAGGTTATTCCAGGCTGGCAGCAGATCTGCAAGACTCCCCTGACCTGGCAAGAACGATAAGGCAGCACCACGTATCTGGTTTGACTGGATTCATTACATCTGGCTCTGGGTCTTCTGTGAGGCACTGCCTGCAGGACTAATATTAATTAAAGTAACATTTCTGTCTCATTCTCCTGTCAGCTGTACCTCATTTTCATTTTTGAATGATTGTGTTACTGAGTCTTAATGCACTGCAAAGACTAATACATTCTGTGAGCATTTACCTTAATTTGTTTTCTAATTCCTGCTGAAAGGTTTCCGGCTCTGAATGATAATGGTGCTTTTTAAGTGTAAGGCACCATGACAGAGTAACTGTCTGATGTTCTTGTGAAAGAGACGGGTGGTTTCTGGCTAGCCGCAGACAGACATTCGTTTTGTTACTTAACCATGAGTATTGGTTAGCTGAGGACAGACACTCATTCCCAGTGAACCATTGGTCTCGGCCAGCTGAAGATAGGCGGTAATTGTAGCGAGCTGCGGATTTTGGCTAGCTGGAGAAGGAAACTCGTCCTTAGTGGGTTGTGGGTTTGGGTGAGCGTGGTGACCAGTGTCTTTAAGTAGCTTACTGGACAATTTTACACTTTTTAAAGGTTTTGACTGAAGGGTTGTCCGTCGGAAGGCAAGCTGGCATCAAAAACTTTGCGTGAAAAAAACAGCTGCAGTTTTGTGAAGTTTTGGTGTATTAACCCCTGAAAACTGAGTGTTTTATTACATAAAACATTACACACCATGGGCATGAAAGAAGCATCAAACTTTGGTGTCATCATTTTCTTATCATAGGGTCCCTCTAAATAGTACTGCAACACAAAATATCTGACTAAACCACTATGGAAATGCTGCAGATCATAAAGTGGGAATCGCTTCTTTACAGTGTGGTCAATACAAACATAATCTGGTGGAAATCTTTGCGTGATGTAGGTCATCTCTATAAGCATTTACTTTTTAACTTACAATTCCAAAGGTCTTTGATAACACGGTGACATTGTGGAAAGATTATGGTACAAATAATCTCTTACAGTAAAATTGGCAATGGGCTATGTCGCCGATCTTCTTAGGGTCAGCGAGTCAAAGGTCAACAACCCGGCATTGACTCTGTGACGACTGACCTTGTTAAACCCACGCTTCCATGACCTTTCAGATTACAAGTCAAAATCAGCAAACCAAGTATGTAATTGTAATTTATATTTAGTTCCTATTTCTGGCAAATGAAACAAGCTGGATGTGCTTAAAACTGCTTTTCAGAACTGCACATCTGTGGCATTCATGGGATTTATAAAAGAGGAATTATACTCTCACGTGTGTGTGTGTGTCTGTGTGTGTGTGTGTGTGTGTGGGAGAGGAGGTGCTAAGGAAGCCACTTTCACAATGACTTCCCTTTTCTGGAGTGGCTGTAAAAGTGTTTTCCGTTCCGCAGGGAACTTAGAAATGTCAACGTCTCTTGTGTCTTAAGACCATGTGACACTTTAAAGAAACAGCCTACATTCCCTGAATGCAGTTCAGTTCTGTCTGGGCATAAAAGGATACGCGGCACGCAAAGTGCCTGCGAGGGCAATTCGATTCCTCCGAGAGACGGCGTAGCGCCTGTACGTGAAAATGAGGAACCTTCGAGCCGTCGTTATGCGCGGGGGACCTCGGCGCTGCTCACGTCATAAGTGGCAAGAAGAGAGACGGCCCCAAAAGAGCGTGCGGCCGGGGCGTTTCGTCACCGCGGCCAGGAGCAGATCCGTTCTAAACGAGCTTTAAACAGCCACATCAGCAGGCAGATAATAGGATCTGATAAGAGGATGCGATAACGGCTAACATGGTTTAAAAGGACGCGCTCTGACACTCAGAGGCTACTGACACGCGCAGCCATGACGTTCGACGGCACCTGGAAAGTCGATCACAACGAGAACTATGACAAATTCATGGAGCAGATGGGTAAGGAGATGCACTCGGGGAAGGCTTTGTGATCAGTTGTCGAGGGGTCCCTGATACGTAGATCACCACGACGTCATAACAGGAAGTTGCACTGTAGGGCTACATTAATCACTGCTATTTGGGATTAAGCTACGTTCTATTGCAATATACAATCTCATATAACAGTCTATGTATCAAATGTCATACGAATGAAAAAAACACACGCTTGCAGTTCACTGGTGCAGAAAAGTGAAAACTCACGCACTGCTTTGTGGATCCGTCTGAGGGTGTCCAGAAGTGACACTGGGTTTCTGGGTGTCCGTCACAGGCATCAGTATGGTGAAGAGGAAATTGGCTGCACACGATAACCTGAAGATCACCATCCAGCATAATGGAGATAAGTTCCATGTGAAGGAGATCAGTACATTCCGTACGCTGGAGATCGACTTCACCCTGGGGGTCACCTTCGAGTACAGCCTAGCAGATGGGACCGAGCTTTCGGTAAGCAAACCTTTACGTTCACGGCCATTCAGCCAGGGTCATGGTGACCGTGACCTAAGCATCACGAGGCCCCGATGTACCTGAACCGAGATCGATCCTCTCGGTCAGAATCCCTGCGTTCCGATAAGTTGTTTCACATAATCGTGTCAGACTTTCCACAGCGGATCTGTTGCTGATCCTCTCGGTCGCTTCACAGGGCTCCTGGATTCTGGAAGGTGAGACACTGAAAGGAAAATTCACCAGGAAGGACAACGGAAAAGAGCTGCTCACCACGAGAGTGATCTGCGGGGACGAACTCGTGCAGGTGGGCATCAGGATCTGGGTCAGACTTTGGCTTAAGCTCCCAGTGTGTCACCAGTAGTGTGCACTGCCTGGATCCAGTTCCTTACATTAAAAGCTGGGGAGAATCCCTCACGGACTCAACTACCGTGGTGCACCGCTGGTATTTTTCGGCCAGGCGATTGAATGAGATTTGTGGTTCATCTGGTAGCGTCGCGGACTCACACATCCAGGACTGTAGGCTTGATACACCGTCTAGCTCTCTGTACAAAGCACACACATTTTCCCTCAGGTAGTTCCACTGCAGGTCAGCTGGCTGGCTATCTTAACTGCCCATTGGGTGAGTGAATAGTACTTAGTTATGGAAAGATGTCTGTCCCCAGGATGTTACCCTGCCCCATAGAATAGGCTTGGAGTCACTGTGACCCTGTTTGGGTTATCGGGTGCCACTAGGGTACATTTCAGGTAGATGGAATACAAAATGCCACTAATCATATCAAAGGACTCATTTTTAAATCAATGCCTATTTTCTTTTTTCAGACCTACAGCTATGATGGAGTGGATGCCAAAAGGATTTTCAAAAGGGGTTAAGACTTAGAATTTAGTTTTTTTTTTTTTACTATAACATGAGACAAACTTTGTTTGTGGGCTTACAATTGTGTGGTGTTTCATTGTCCTAAAAATAAAATGGTTCATTGTTCCACGCCGGACAGTATTTGTTACTGGAAAATGAATGAAGTAATGAATGAATAAACCATAAAATGTGTAAATGCCTGTATTTGTTTCTGGCAGCTCCGATATTTTGTCTTATCGATTACTTACCAAGTGAATTCCGTAAGTTCGAAGGTACCTTTACAAGATTCCTTTGAGAGTAAAAATATTCTTGTCATAATATGCTATGCTAAGTAAAGAAAAATCTATTACACCACACTTACATGTTGAATAAAATTCAGTTTATCAAACAATATAAATAAACAATATAAAAGCATTTCCGAGTATATGTACATGATTTTACAAGTTATGGTACAAATTAGATTTTAATTTATTGTACATGGAAAAAGTAAAGGCACAGGATATTTAATGTACAAGGTACATATTTAAGAAAAAAGAGATAAAGAGAATTCATGCCTGAGCACTTTTTATAATGCAACACAAAAGCGCAAATGACAGAAAGTAAAAAAGGTGCAGCGTTTCATTAAAGTCCAGCCTGGAAAATACTTCAAATTCTCTTTCTTATTTAGGACACAGATTATGGCATCTTCGATTTCTGTGCAAATCCTTCTGAATACTGAGTAAAATCTGTGTTTATGCAAAAAGCAAGACCTACATTTACAGAGAAGAGCCTTACACTACAGTATATTTTATTAGGGTGTGAAAAAAAATAACTTAATGCTCTACTATACTTCAAGAATACTCTGGGAAATGAGGAGAAACCAAAACAGAGAGCATACAGAAAGGGATCATTAGTGGGATCATGCTGACCATTCCATTGTCCACTCCCTGAGGAGTGTGAATTACGCAACAAGAATATAGATTTTAGAGACTGCGTACTTTTCGTCAAACTTTGCCGTTGTTACTGCTGTTTGCTTGCATTGCAGCTCTTTAAACGAAACGCCCAAAGGCGATGGTAAAATGTGCTTATTTTCGGCTGTTTAGCTTAATCCCCCACGACCCGCCAGCCGGAGTACTTTACAATACAATTCGTTAACCCTCTAGTAATGTGTAGCTAGATCCTGCAAATAATTCATCTCATTATGGCTCTTCGAGAAGAATCTCACTGCTTCCTGTGACTGACACAGCAAATATCTGTTGTTAGTTACTTAAACGACAGCTTAAAGTGCGGGTAAACCTTAAAAACAAAGCGCGAGTCACAGCTAGCCCTGATCCAGAGTGTTTTGTTTACTAGGCTTAGAAAAAAAAATCGTCTTGAGCTTGGCTTTTTCCATTTTTGGTTGAAAACGTAACAAACCCAAAGATGCATAACAAAGTGCCTTGCCTCTCCTCTCCCCCCTCCTCCCCCTGACGTAACACCTTGCCGCAGGGGCTGTATGTTCTGCTCCACGCGCGACCTGCAGCTCCGCAGAGGTCGTCCGCTATTACGCGAAACCGTAGAAAGCTTTTATTTCATCCCCTTTGGCCTCCAGTTCGGCACGTGGTTCTCCGCGCCACGCCTCCGAGAAACGTGAATGCGAAAGACTTTATCTCTGAGGGATTACAGAAGGACATTCATTACCTTCTGATGCTGCGTTGAAAACGTTACGCCACGCAGTACGGAAACTAAGCAGAGTGTACAAGAAGTTGTAAATGCAGCATGAGCAAAAAAATCACACAGACAGCAAGAAAATGTTATTATGCACTTAGATTGTCACTCAGATTATTTGTCAGACCTGCTCATTAGCCAAATCAACCTGATGCTCTGTGGCTAAAAGTTGAATACATAGAGAATCACTCATAGAGATTCAGATACTGCGTGGTTGAGTATGATATGTGATTTAAGAGATTTTGATTGTAGTGTGATTTGTTGTTTCTAGTGTCTCAGAAACAGCCGCCATTCTGGGATTATAAAATACTACAAGTGCAAAAATAACAGCTCAGTATGACAGTAGTATACAGGACAGCTTCTCTAAATGCAGAACTTGTATACCCTTAAAGCAGTTCTGGAGACAGGAGAGGATCGTCTGTTAGACCTTTGAAAGGACACTAACTTAGCAGGCAGAAATTTGTTGACTTACCAGTCAGTGTGTTTCTCGTCACAAGAAGCCATGCTCATCCAGCCCTCTAGGGGTCACCGCGTTCCATTTTATGGTGGGTTTGCTGATAGAAAAGCCTGAAACACAGCGGTCATAGATATAAAGAAACAGGCGACAGTCTGAGGCCATGGGGAGGCTGTTGATGTCAGTGATGTCAGTGCACGCAGTAGCACTTCTTCACCGATGCAAATCAGAATCGCGTGACCATGAGGTTAACACGGCCTCGTAAACACAACTGCACTGGCAAAGGCTGTAGACGAGCCACTGAGGTGATCATTACCTGTTTCAGGCTTAGCTATAGGTAGGTTTGAGGACAGAACGGTCTCTGCTGGAACAGGATGGCTGGTGTCAGCAGAGTCACCGCGGTCGCGGCCCCCGGGGTCAGCAGCGGGCTTCCAGTGGGGCCTCCGGTGGTACCGTAGCCGGTACGTGTCCGTCATGCAGTTGTCCACGGAAAAATAGGTGGTGAGCGAGACTTTAGGGTCACGGCAAAGCGCGGGTATTTCCATCCTCTCCTGGTCGGGCGAGGTCGCCGTGGAGACGGACTTCTGTGCGGTGAACCCGGCGAGTTGTTGCCGTGAGACGGGTTCCGGTGCGGCGTGCGAGTGGACCTGGGGGGTTTTGGCCGGGGGACGGGGGCTGGTTTGCGATGGCTCCTGCAGCAGCCTGGGTCGATACCCTGTCCGGCCGTCCTCAGGAAACGGGGCTTGCTGACGGCTACGCCGCCCAGGAAGCGGAGGCGAGGATGCCAGCCAGCAGTGAGGCTGGCTCTGCTCGCCAGGCCAGAGGCGGAAGGTGCGATAGGGCACTGGGCTCGGACGGGGCGACTCTGGAGGCGCCGCCTCGCTGTTGCTGGAGCGGTAGGCGCTGTCCTCCTGCTCGGACGCCGGGCCCGTCAGCTCGTCCGAGCTGTTCCACTCCGAGCTGCTGGTCTTGGACAGCTGCTGCGTCAGGGGGCTCCTGTCTGTCACTTCACGCGGTGTCACATCCAGAGATGCAGACTCACCACCGGAGCCACTGGCCCTTTCTGGGCTCCTGGGAGAGACACTGGACTTTCTCCTGCCAACACAAACCGCGAGGAATCAGTAATCTCCCCCAGTTCTCATGGACTGATACTTCTAGGGCTTATATCCATCTGAGGGAACAGCTTGATGTATGTGAAGCTCATTAACAGAATAAAAACATGTGGCTGATATTCTAAAATGAACAAACAATGAAGACTGCTAGTGGCTGAGTAGTGGGCACATTTTTATAGTCATGATTATAATTTCAAATAAATTGACACCAACGTAAATAAGTTTCTGACTTTTTTTCTTTTTTTTTACCTTAAACTTGGACTAAACCGGCTGACGTGGGCATCTTGAAGGTGGCAATCTGTTCTTTTAGTTTTCATCTGATGTCCCCCTTTAAAGGAAATCCATACACATTTATATGTCAGTGATGTTGACTAATATTCCTGGCTAGGAAGCATAGATGCTCACAGATGTATGCAGGTTCTGAATGATGCGATGTGTGATGGGCATACAATCACACTACAGACCCCTCCCCTCGAGCACTCTGCTCCGCTCACGTGGGAACAGAGAGCTTCCGTCTTCTTGAATCCGTCATGCCCCCCTACGTTTTTCATTTTCAAACATGCCTAAAATTAAAATACTGAATTTGCAATACAGCACAGCTGACTGAAGGAGCCGCTGCGTGTCAGAGGAATGAAAGATGACGGCAGGGAAGCAGAAACGAGCTCTTAGATCATGCAGCCTTTGGTGCTGAGCGGCGAGGAATCCTGCCTCGGTACTCTGTCAGCTTTATAAATAAATATTTAAAGCTCCTGTTGCAGTTGCTTCCTGTTAGTTGGAGGTTAAAAGTTGAACAGACGGATTGGATGTGCGTAAAGGGTTAGAAAAACTTTGTGCCACTGAAAACTGAAATCCATTTTCACAAGCATGACGTACAGGAGAACTTGGGAACAGAGGTGGATAGTTCAGGTCCAGAAAGTAAAAATCCAGACCAGGATTTTGCATCCACCAACCAGTTCAGTACTCTGTGACTCTACTTAACCCTGGCTACCCTGCACATTTAAGGTGTAAAACACTCCCAGCCATTACTGGTTTAGGTGTTCATTGGTTACCATCATCACCTGTATGCAGAGATGGGTCCAGAGAGTACAAGTCCAGACTAAGATTTTGTTTCAGCCAACCAGCTCTTTATACTCAACTGGTTGGTTGAAGCAAAATCCTGGTCTGGATTTTTACGCTCTGCCTTTATAAAGCATTTTGAATTGCCATGTGTCTGAATTGTGCTATATAAATAAACTTGCCTGGCCTTGACTCTGGCCCTGAATTACCCACCTCTGCCTGTGTGGCACTGAAAGCTGATCTGAGCAGCAGCTATAAGGTGACCCGCATCGACAGAGCTGTCAGCGTATCGACACGGCCGACAGTAGTCCCCAGCCGCCCTTCTTCGGTGCTCAAACGCACCCCCCCCCCCTCGCTGGCCAGGCAGACAGTTGGGGAAAGCAAATTATGTAATAATAATGCTATCAGCCCCCCCCCCCACAAACATCCCAGAAAAATCCAGTGAAGCGCAACTGTTTAGGAGAACAAAACCATTCCAGGGAGTTTCCGGGGGGGGTATGGTTACTGCCTACGATATCTGACACGTGGGGGCCGTGAGGGTGAGATCATACCTTCCTCAACTCCTGGTGGAAACAGACCAGCAGCGGGCAGGAGAGATCAGCCAGGAGTGAAATTAAGTTTCAGCGTTATTAATTGTTTCCACTACTGGGACAAATTCTGAATCCTTATCATTTACATCTGAAGCTCACAGCTTGTTATAATAATGGGTCAACATTTCTACTTGGCTAAACTTCCCATTAAGGATCCCCTTGACACAAGTGATGTGCAAATTCCTGTGGCACAAACTGATCCATTAATTAGACCAGGAAAACAAACCCACTCTGCGATTTGTTGGGTTCATGCACAAATTCTGGCGGGAGTTATACTTAATGTTTTTTTGACCTAGCCGCCCTTCGCTAAAAAAAGATACTTTCACTCTAAGCCAAGCGTTTGAAGGCTTAACTCCGTGTTACATATCGCACCATTTCCTTTCTGAAAGAGCCAGATTTATCTGAAAAGAGAGATAGAAACAGGAAGAAAAGAAGATGAGTCAGAGAGAGGGAGGTCGAGAAGAAAGGGAGAGTGAGAAGAGAGGCAGAAAGAGGGAGAAAGTGAAAGAGAGAGAGTGAAAGAGATAAAGGGAGAATGCCACTGGTTTGGTGCAGAGATCCATTCCACTGGCGATCAGCAAGGGGGCAGCAGAGAGCAGCTCTCAGAGTCAAGGCATGTCATGGCTGCTGGGCCAACACGCCAATCGGGCCACACGCTGGATTCCTACTCGATATAAATAGGCATATCCCCCCCCCCCACTGCCCTCCCCTCCACTGACCCAGAGGTCCATGCAAGGATAAAAGCTGCAAGCTGCCCTCTGGGAATTTTGGCTCTGGGTTCACAGGGGTCCTAAATATGGCCGGTGCTGCTGGAAACGCACAGGCTGGGGCTGGCGTCACGGAGAGCAGGGAGGGCCGTTACCGCGCTCGCGATCAAGCCCGACGCCCGGGGATCACAGGGCGGCGAATTAGACGAGGGCGAGGAGGGAGGCGAGCTGAGCCGACGGGACGTCCCGCAGAGAGATTACAGCTGCAGTGCGATTTTAAATCAGCTTTTTGGCTTGTCTTTTAAAAGGGATTAAAACTGGACCAAAGAGGACCTCCGCAAGCTGTACAAATGCCCGATAAGATTCAGAATACCAGCAGAGTGTTCCTTATGTTACACACATAGGCCATCCCAGATGTGACCAGATGTGAGCTTTTGCCGAATTAGGGAGGATAGGAATATAGGAATAGCTCTTATAAACAAGATGTTTCTTTTAAAATCTAGAACTGAAATTTATTATTAAGTTGATTTCTGTCCCAGAAAGGAGGGTTTATGTTACGTGACAGCTGATTGGTTGGATACACAGACTGATCACGTGACCATCCAATCACATACCGGGTGCCAGGTTACTTTTGCCTAATCCCCTCTGCCCTGGGCTTTGCGAGTACAAGTAGAGTCTGGCTGCCATCAGCTTTTCACTCCCTCAGCCCAGCCCCCCAGAAACCGTGACCGGGATAGTGGTTAGAGATTAATCTAGTCTTGTATAGGTTTTGCCCCCCCCCCCCACATGACTCGCCAAATCCCTGAATGATGCAGGTATTTTAGTATCCAAAGGGTCAGTGCATCACCAGTATTTGTTGCTAATTCGCAGTGAGTGTCTATCAGATGCAAATCGAAAACACTAATGAAACGAACATTTCTCTCTACCTACGTCTAATAATAGCTGCAAGCGATCAGGCATTACCTAAATAACAAACAAAAACAATTTAAACAAAGGTTAAGTAATACTCTACGGAAAACGCAGGGAAAGACAAAACTTTCAGATATCTGTGATCTATGAATATTTACAGTCCCTATTTCATTTGATCTGAACCTGAGTTAGATAAACAGTTCAGCCAGCAGCAACATTTTAAATAGTATACTGCGTCTTTTGTTGCTATGTTACTAAAACTCAGCTAACCTATTTTTATAAGCATGAAAGTAAGAGAAAATTAGAGGTTTCACTGAATTAGCCCAGTTAACTCTTTGCTGACGAACACGCTGTGTCTCTTCGGTAAGTAGCCTCAGGCGCTTAAAAACGAGCTCTGGCTGTCCCTCCCCCCCGCTGTGAATGTGATGAGAATCACGGTGGCCGAGGGATCTCGCCAAAGCGAGCCGTACGGACTCTGGGCGTCTTACCAGGCAGTGTGGGAGAAGGCAGGATGTCCGTCTTCGCTTGCTCTGCTCTGCTGTGACAGCCCCCGCCCCTGAAAGGAAGAGTTCCCAGTCCGCTGAGACGAAACTAAACATGACACAATGGGGGCCCGCGCTGTGCCTGCTCTGAAGCCAGGAGGCGCTAGTGTGCGGGTCGGCAGTTTGGGAGGGTGGTCTGTCTCTCAGTGTATGTGCCAGTCCATAGATGAGCAGGCTCTCATCCTTCTGAGATGGGGATGGACGCCTCTACTGCAATCCATATACTTCATATTTTAAAGCCCAATTCGTTCTGGACTGAAATAATGACGTTAACCATTGCTGTGTCCAGACAGAGGTCACCAACAGGCCAACCATTTGCTGAAATGCCCATGGAGCAAAGTTAGACAGAAGACGTATGAAACATGGAGAAAAGTCCCAGGAAGTTCTGGGGAGTTCCTGACTCTTACCTTGGCGGCTGGTCCTCAGTGACCCCAGCCAGCTCATTGGGCGTGAAGCTCTCCACGCCCGGAGAGTCGGGGTTTGTGGAGCCGCTGCTCAGCCTGTCGCTGCTCTCATACCCGGACTCGGTGCGCTGGATTGCCCAGGAACTGCCCCGCAGTTTGGGGTTGGCCCTCCCTTCTGGGCCTTCCTTGTCCTGACCGGTCCTGCTCTCCGACTCCAGAGAGCTGTGGCTTGCGGTTTCCTGCCTCTGCTCGTCCTCGTAGATGGTCATGAGGCAGTTGGGCCGGCGCTCGTCCTTGGCGCGGGGCCGCTCCCGCTCGCAGTGTACCACAGCCGGGCCGGGAAGCCGGCGCTGTGGCCGGTGCTGCTGCTGCTGGCGCCGCTCCAGTTCGCTCAGCACGCTGTCCACATTCAGCACCTCCCGCACCGGCCTCCAGGGTCGGCTCCGGGCGTGGCCTTTCTCACCCTCGCACTTCCGGCCGTGGCCACCGGGAGGTGCTCCGTGGATGTGGGACTCGCTGGGCTGGCCCTGGTGCTGTGTCCTCTCAAGACGAGGGGCCCCTTTGGCCTGAATGCCATGTGACCTGGGCCCGGCTTGCTGGTGCCCCGCATTCTCCGGGGGGGAGGTGCAGCGGGGGTGAATCTTCTCGGAGAAGGCATCTAAATGTGATCGCAGCAGAGGATGTCGTTATGAAACTGAGTTATCGGGAAGCTTCTTTTTATTTTATTTAGCTTTACATTACGTTACATTTTCACTTGAGATCCAGTTTAATTTGAGTTTTTCTGAATCATTTTATTATTTTTTTTGTTTTAAAGTTATATTTCATTTTAATGATTTTTTTAGTTTCAGTTTACATTCTAGTAATTTTATTTCAAAGGACAGACGTCAAGTTCAATATGTCTAATCTTTAGAGAATTATTCATGAACACACAATGCAAGTAATGCCCTCAAACTGGGCAAAACGTGTTTCGAGTATTATTAACGGTAATTAAATATAAATCATTACTTTAAGTATTTAAGTACACAATAAGTACTGAATAAGTACTGAATGTTTATTATTTATTATGTTTTGGAAGCAATATTTATAGTTTTTGTTAGTTATGGTTTTTTATTTTATGTTTCCGTCTTATTTTATGTCAGCCTACAAAAACGTTTTCTTACGGTCCATGTTTTCTTTAACGGTAATTACCCTGACACACAGTGTTTCATACATCCGTAAAAAAAAATCTGCCCCGAGGTTCACAGATTTGGCAGGAAGTGTGGAGTCCATTGCCCAGGGCCACAAAGCTGGGGACACTCTGGACGGGACAGCAGTCTGCCAAGGGGCAGACACTCGCACACTAACACACATTCATGGGGAAGCGACCCTAGCAGGGACAGTAAACGAGAATGCCCTGGGGATACGGGGGAATTCCGTATAATCAGTCAAACGCACAGCCCTGGAGTTGGAGGTCAACCTCTAGCTACCAATTTATACTGTAAATCCATTCATCTCCCATATCAATTTATCCAGTATAGGGTCCCAGTGCCATACAGCAGTTTCACACTTAAATAACCTTGAGAATTGAACGCTAAGCCTCGGCACTGAAATTAGCTACCTGAACCAGCCATTCCGGGATCTCTAGGTGCGTTTAGCGTTAGCGCCTGCCTACGTTTGCCTGTGTCATGTCTGTCCGCCGGGCAGCGCCATGCCAGCCCGCAATGCCAAGTGGACCTGGCACACAGCGTCACATCCCCCCACATGCCGCTGTGCGGCTAATAGCCGCTGCGCGGGGGGGCGGGCAGTCGCGCGTGTGACAGCGGGCGCACAGACGCATACGGGCACAGGACTGGCTGTCGGGGGGCCTCTCCTTGCCTCGTCATGATCTCCTCTCCGCTGGCCTCCTGCTAGCCACCCGGGGGTTCAGCGAGAGCCTGTCAAGGTCGCGATGAATCACAGTTGGCACTTGGTGGGAGGAGGTTGGGGGGGGGGGGCACCCTAAGACGGAGCAGGGTGTAGTCACACTGTCGAGGCTCGTGCCATCCCCTCGCGCCTGCTCCTCTTCCTCTGACCCACCATGGCGTCAAACTAAATCACCAATCAAGCATTTCTGTAGATTCAAGGCATCTGCCATCAGTATTTCAATAGTGGAAGCAAAAATCTCTTCGCCAAACTTCAAAAGTCAAGTCTAGTCAAGTCAAATGGGCTTTATTGTACCATCCATATACAGGTGTATGGTGGATTGAAGCAGCGTTCCACCCAGGACCATGGTGTAACATCCAGCAGCAGTGACCGGGGGGATGGTTTTCACGGTACTTAAAGTGCAAAAATAGGGTTGGTGCGGGTCATTTATGGATTAGTTACATCAGCAGTTCGTTAATGCGGGCAGGCAGTTAACGCGCTGCAAGGCAGGATTTCGTCGACGTTACTGGGTTTTACCGCACACCCAGATCCTGGAGCAGAGCCCTGACTGATGCCAGCTGACGTTTAGCGCACATATTTATAGCCCCGTCAGAAGTCCTCGGAGCACAGGGCCCTTTGGCGCCAATTCGCAGTTAATCAGATTAACGGGAGCAGTCCGGGAAAACACGTCCGAGAGCCAAATCGGAGAAACGACGACGATCCGCGAAAGCGTCTCGCCGACGTGTGACTAAACAGACCTGCCTTGTGACTGAGCTCTTTTATTCAGCATCGGATGAGGCTCCCGTCCGCCAGCCTTGAATCACACCGACACCACGTATGCGGGCAAAGGGGGCGGTTACCTTTGCTGCGACATGGTAGCTCCGCCCAGATCAGACACTTCCCATTACAACTCACTGGCTATGCTCCACCCTCTCATCTCATCGACACCTTCCAGCACTTTCCCCATAATCAAAAACAGCACCTCTAGATGGCACAGTGGTATGGTGACTCAGTGACTTCATACCTCCTGGGTTGTAGATTTGGTTCCTGCTCCTGTATCGGTATATGATATCTGAATATTCTCACTATCTTTGTGTCCCTCTTGATGATCTGGCTTCCACTGTCCAACAAAACATGAATCGTCAAACTGGTGTTTCTACAATCACTGCAACCCAGTGGAAGAGGGATAATGCATTGCTGAAGATGATATTTCTTTTAAAAATGCAGCTATATTATACCTCACAAGTTACTCGCAGATTTGACATTTTACATGCACACACTGGTCCCGGTGTGTTACTGGTCGGGAAAAGCTGACTTTCGGCACACTGTACTGTCAGAATATAGGACGAGTTCTCCGCAGGATGTGACCTGGTCCTGACAGCTCATGTCAAGGTGAGGTTGTGTCAGAGGAGCATCTCCATGGCAACAGGACAAACGCGGTCCGGGGTGCTTTGTGGCAGCTAGCATCAGGGTGGTCGTGTGTCACAAGTAATTTGCTTCTGTTGCTTCCCTCCCAAATGTTGGGTTATGTAGGGGCATGGGCTATGGGACACCCAGGACAGAGGGGCATTATTACTGGTAAGCTCACGTAAGATTCAAACTTAGCCAAAATCCGTAACGTTAAAACACCGAAGGTCAACCAAGTGGCATCCATACTGAGCCAAAATCCGTAACGTTAAAACACCGAAGGTCAACCAAGTGGCATCCATACTGAGCCAAAATCCGTAACGTTAAAACACCGAAGGTCAACCAAGTGGCATCCATACTGAGCCAAAATCCGTAACGTTAAAACACTGAAGGTCAACCAAGTGGCATCCAGACCGAGGCGAAATCCATAAATGTAAAATTCCAAAAGTAAAGCGTACTATAAAAAGTGCTTAACAAGGTATACAGACCAGATCGGTTTTGCTGAGATATGAATTATGTGACCACTGTGATGGACTGGTATCCCGTCCAGGATGTACCTGTACCTTGTACCCTATGCTGCCTGGGACAGGCTTCCAGGCCCCCCCGGGATCCTGTACTGGATAATGAGTTGGAAGATGGATGGATGAATGAGATACACAAAAAAACTGCGATGCACAGAGCAAATATTTTCTGATGTTACACTCTATATATCACAATAGTAGCAGAGCCGTAGTTCGTTCTCTGATTTGCATTTGATTCTCTGACACAGGTCCTTAGACAAAACTGCTGAGGATCTTCCTATAGGTGATCATGGACGTCCAGCGACCTGTGCTAACGTTCTTCTCTCTTCAGATAATATGCGCTAGCGTAGTGTGCTGCGCATTCCTGTCCTGCGTGCACTGTAAAAAAAATAAAAAACCCACCTTGACCTGACCATCACGAACATCCCTACAGGTGGCTCGTACCTCGCTGGGCCAGGGAGTCTAGTCTTCTCGGCCCCCTTGTGAGCTCCTTCCTCTGAGGGTGTGGCGTCCGTACCTCCCCCGGCCTCTGAGTACACTCCTTGGGACCCTCCCTTAGTTTTCTTTTGGGACTAGTGGGAGGAGCTTTCGCTGCAGGACAGAGGGGGCCGTTAATTCTCAGACGGGCCTTTCTTCGGTCATCCTTGACCCCGCTAAACGCTCCTCGCATGCAGTAGATGATGAGCAGGCCCCTTCACACCCAGGCGGTGTAAATATGTGACACGCCGGTTTTCCGGAAACCCCCGGAGGTGTCCGCTGCAGCAACAGGAACGGTGAAACCTAATTCCGCTCACCTCGTTTCATCCCAGTTAGAACATTCTTTGCGAAAATAAAAAAAACCCTTTCAAAGCCAGCAGGGGGCCACCTCAGTGTGGCCAGTAATTTCCTTTCTCGTTAAGGCACATGTGTAATCGCACTCTTAATATTCCGGTGGCCGTAATTAACATGTCAAATAATATACCTCCAGAGCTTTATTAATGAAATTTAAAGGAGGTAAATTGCAATTTCTTATAACCTAATTGATAGGTGAGATTAGAGTATATTATATATAATAGAGGTATATAAACACAGGCAAGCCCCAGGATTTGAATGATTTAACCAATAACACTGCATGATGATTCATAAAGAGTGTAAATTAAAGGTTCTCTCTGTGGTATCAGGCCTGTGCCTGCCTGCTAGCAGCTCTGATTTGCAGCACCCCTCAGTGAACAGCAGGGGGCTCACACGAGGGGACGCACATCCAGAAAGGCCAGGCTTTCATGTATATAGTCGCTCAGTGACGTGCTGAAGACCTGCTGACTGACCCTCGCCCGCATTTAGCCGGGGCGGACAGCTACCCCACGGCTCCTAGCTACTCAAAAGACCCCCCCCCCCCCCACAGGCGCACCCTGAAATAAATTCATGCAGTGCCTTTGGGCACAGAAATGGTTCCTTCCCGACCATACGCAATTCAAACCGTTTTTAATTACACCGATTTTAATTGCTTCTGTGACTACTTGTGAGGTTCCGATTAATTTTAATCGCACCCGTCACATCGTTGTTGGAGTTTTACGCAGAGCTTCCCGGGGACGACTATGTTTTAAGAGTGCAAAATAAAAATAAATTGAACGGAATGAGCTGAAACGAGGTAGACTGCGCTGGCATCGATAAGGAGCCTGACCACCGCGTGTCCTGGAAAGACTCCAGGCTCCTATTCTCTTAATTAAGAAGGGACAGCGAGATGTACTGAGCTGGGGGTGTTTTTTTTATTTTTTTCTTTCCTTCTTTGGTCATAAGTAATGATCTGCTCTGCTACTGAGTGCGCTGTTTTAACATATTCATTAAGCAGACAGTTCTAGTCCCGCATATTTCTGTGAGTGACATTGACGGTAAAGGTGGGGGGGGGTGGTCCCTGCCGCAGGGAGCTGGAAGCCAGGGCAATCCGGAACGTGTGTGGGTGTGTGCGTGTATCGGGTGGGGGGGGGGGGCAGCTCAGCCAGCAGCTGGTTATCAAAATATAGAAGGCAGAGTGACTCATTCACTTAAGTTACTTGGAAAAACATTCATCTGCTGTCATTAAGCACTGCTTGTCCCGTTATAACAGATTTGTACATAAGAGTTTTGCTAAATAAATCACAATAACCAGCGGTGCACCTGAAAACAACACATTATTACATTATCAATCAGTAATTCGCCTAACAGACTCTTAAGATGCACAGGGGCTTTGAAGAGCTGTACTCCGTGAAATTTCCCTTAGCCGAAAGGGGGCCTATTCTCGTTGAAAGAGAGAAATTTGTTTCCTGTTTTCTATCTATAAACCGGCCAACCCCTCCCCGAGAAAGCTGAGGTGGATCGGGGGTATGTGAGGACAACGGTAGGGTTTTACCTTCAGCAGAACATTAGCTTAAGGAGCTGATGTCGCTTCCAAGGTGCTGATATTGTTTCTCTCAACAGGGCCGCCAGTAGCCAAGCGGCTAAAGCTAACATAATCCCCCAGCGAAAGATATGTTAGGCATGGAATCAGAACTGCCAGTCAGTTCAATTAATTGCTGGCAAAGCGGAGAACCCAGTAGCACCGCTAAGTTATTGAGAGGAATCCTACAGGTTCTCATCTGTAGATCAGACCCCTGTCTAAAGAACTTGAATTGTGTCTGTAAGCACACTGATGGGAAAATATATTCAAGTGTAAAATGTCAACGTGCAAATGAAAGTGAAAGTTCAACTGGGATTCTTTGAAATTAAAGAACTTGGCCAATGAAAGACAATGGAAAGGACTGTCATTCGAATGTTTCATAGCCATTAATCTTCGAGCTTCCCAGAGAAGATGAGATGGTTCGGTATTTCTGACAAACTTTAACGGGAAACTCAGATAACATCAATCGCTACTTGCATACAGTTTCGGTCTTTTAAGTATGATGAATCGCCGACTGTATGCTACTTCACAGAAGGGTCAGACACAAACAGGACTGGACGCAGGGACCCAGACTTGTGGCCCCCCCGTAATGCACCGTGACTGTTTGTGCACCTTAGCACAGTGGATTTCTTAGCTAGGTTACTGTAACTGCAGCTAGAGACCAAGACGACACTTTCAACTTTCAAGGAGCCGAACAGGAGGTTCACTCACCCATAGCTTCTCCATTGACGGGGAGTTTACGGTGGGACCAGAGGGTGGTCTGTCGGGGGGCGTCCTCCGTAGAGACGGCTCCGCCTTCGGGGTTGGCATAGAACAGAAGGAGTGGCTGGAAGTGACCTCGGATACATTTAGAAACCACGTCTTTCCACTTGGAGCCGACCTACAAAGCCAAGGACACTTATGATGACTCAAAATACACACAAGTGTATTTAAGTGTATTTAAAAGTCTTAGGCAATCAAAGAAAATGTTTAAAGCTATTTATCTGGTTAGTAAGTGTATATCTGCATCAGAACAAACGGTGCGCAGATTAAAAGCAACACAATACAAACTAATAAGAATTTCTTGATGCATGGATAGATGAGCTCGGCATCAGATCCCAAAACACTCCTCAACCATTCCACCAGCTCATTTAATTAATCCATTTAATTAGTCAAATAACTCAATGATGTATTGATTTGCAGAACAAGGTCTGCTAGTAGTTGAGTCAAAAAAATACAAAAGTGCATCGAATGGTTACGGCAAATATTGGGGTGACCGTAGGTGATGTGTCGAAATGGCTCAGCTGACACACTTTGGCAGGCAAAACAAAGACGTGGAGATAAACATCGTTTTCTTTGACTGCCTAAGTCTTACACCCAACAACGTACGTCACATCAAACCAACACTTTCAATGCCTAAAAGCACCAAAAAAATTATCCTGCAAACAATACTAATTACTCACCCAAAAGTGACATATTCTTTAAGTGTTACTGAGCTTGTAAGATGAATATATTTGCAATATTAATGCCTCACGCTCATTCTACCAGATCTTTTCTGTCTGCCAGATTGCTGAAAACATCCATATATCAGAACTGCTTATCCAGCCCAGGGTTGCAGAAGAGCCTGGAATCTGTCCCGGGAAGCTCAAAGTAGGAGCCAGGGAACACTCTGAACATTTTCGGGACACCAATTAACATAACCACATGTTTTTGGACTGCAGGAGGAGAGCTACATCACCGGGCTACGAACCCAGGAACACGGGGAGAACATGTGGTGCTGCAGTTATAAAAACGTGTTAATCGTGATTGACCTAAGCAGTGAACACAGAGATTAAAGCCCAGCATAAAGTGGTAAACATGCTGCACATGCAGTTCAATCTAATAGCACCGGGCTCTAATCTAAAATGCACAGAACATACCCCTACACTTCACTGTAGTAATTTGTTCTTGTCAGCTCTTGTCAATTGCATTAGATTATGTTAGGTAATGGGTTTTGCTTTTCTAAGGCATTTTAAAGGGCAGTTGAAGAACACGTGTACTACCATAACAATGATTCGCAGCGATTCATGGGTATGCCCTTCGGTTTCTGAAAGGCACCACCTCACCCCCCGACTGTCTCACACCCACCTCCTTCACCGTGGCGTCATCGAAGAAGACCCATCGGGATGTTTTGGTGTGGTGGGCAAAGGCGCAGTAGTGTCTACTGGAGTAGCAGATCATTCCCACAAGGAGAAGCTCGGTCCGCCTGCCGTTCTCGTCCGCCACGCGCCAGAAAAGCTGCGAGGGAGATCAGGCCAGTTAACGAGGGTTCTTCTTACCAACACTGTGCCCCTGAGCTGTGTGCAGGAGAACCAGGGAGATCACGTCGCACCAAATCCCAAGCTGATGGGCGTCAGGGCTAAGCTTCATGTCTTACGGAATAGTCTTTAATTGGATTTGTTCCACAAACGGGCACATGCATGAGAATTATGCTAGGAGCTGTTTCGGAAGGACCCAAAAGAGATCCACTGGAGAATTTTCAGACAGCACTCCCATGAGTGCATTCGAGCATAGCGGATGATGGAAAGGATCAAGTGGAATCAGGAAATAAAGGCTACCAAGGCAGCAGAGGTTTTACTGAGAAATTAGTCACCCTGGGGTTTTGCCTCAGGATGAGAGTTCAAGCTACACTCTGCGGGGATGTGTGTAAGATAGCATGTTCTCCCAGTGCTGTTCTGGGTTTCATATTGCCGGTTAGTTTGACTAATTGGTATAAACTGCCCCAGGTGTGTGAGTGAGTATCCTGGCATCCCATCCACGATGCCCCCCAGCCCTGCATCCTCCGCAGCCTGGGTCAGGCCGGTCAATTCCCTGGGCAGATGGACAAATCACCCTACAGCCTAGACAAACAAACATTCAAAGGAGTATTTTTACTCAAAGAAACACAACAAACAACCAAAAGTACAAATATATACAGCCTCACATCCAGTTACCTGATCGAGCCGCTGTTCGTATGTAACTTGTACTGTAATTCAGTATATAGATGTGATGGACGGCTACAGTATCATGGTAACAGTCCCAAATGTGAGCGTATTTAAGCTAAGAGTCTAACATATAATCCAACTGCAACCAACACAGTTTACAAATAAAAGAGGTTAATTACAATTACAAGGAACAATGGGAGTCCCCATTTTCTTGGATATAAAATTTTTTAGGGGGTTGTATTCAAACCCTTGTAACCTGACTTTTTACCTTGCTGGTGAACATGAGTTTCTTTTCCGTTCTTTCCCATTTCTGATATACTGGTTGTCTCTCTATGCTCCTCCCCCACGTGTGACACGCCCTTCACACCATCAGCACACGCCCACGTGAGACAGGACGAGAAAGGGCCCGCAGATCAGTCCTCCGCTTACTTCACAGAGGCTCAGATGAGGCCCCAGTGATCGTATGACGTCCTCCGTCAGGTCGGACTGCTCGGTGTCCCACACGAAGCCGATGGTGACGATGTCCGGGCAGTTCATCAGCACACGGCGGATTCTGATGCTCTGTCCACAGTTGCTCTGACGTTCAAAAGGGGGGGAAAAAAACCATACAAAGGGTAACAATACAAATGGTCACATGTCCTCTCGTGTGGTAAATCTGCATGATGATGTCACAGGGGGATATTTTCGGCATCCAATGGCTACTAGGTGGGCAAGGACGACATCTTTAAGATTAAGGTTCCCGGGGAAATTCTTTAAGTGGTTGGTTTTAATGCACATACAGGCTATAAGGATCCTACTTAAGAAAGCCTGGCTCGAAAAGATGAAAGACAATCTCTGGAACTGATTTATACTGTAATGTAATATTCAAAACACAAAATACTGCATGCAAAAGGCAGGGAAAAAGTGTACTGGTATATTTCAACGGTGCCTTAGAATATCCGTAATACAAACATCTCTCTTCTGATCTGATCATCACAGTAAAAGTGAATTTGCACACCGATCCGTAGCTCCTGGTTACATTTTGCCCGTATCCCACTCCTGGATTTGCGAGCGGGTTACAGTCAGGACGCCATAGCAGCAGGAATGCCTGGCGATACTTTATGTTCCAGCAAGGTGCTCCGCTCCGGGCTATCGCGAGGGTCTCGTGGCGCTGGTACTGCCTCGCGGACCGACCCGCTAAGTGTTGGCGCCAGACAGTGGTATCAGAGCAGCATGCTCCGGTTGCCAAGGGAGACGGCTGACTGTTATATATAGCAACACACGACGGGCCAGCTTTCCCTACAGGGAGCTTTTGCGTCGTCAGATCGCAGCTATGGCAAAAGAGCTTGATGCTGCTCTCAGCTAGGCCTAAACCCTCCAATTACGAACCGCTTCTTGTGTTTCCGCTGCCGGGCTCTATGACGCTGGGCAGGTTGGCGGGAGGATATGTAAACAGTCGGCTGAATAAGGTCAGTATGGAAACGGGGTATTGAGCTCAGCCCAGAGGGCCAGCAGGAGTCTATAGCACTCAGGCACTGAACCAAAAGCCATCCATGTTTATAAAAGAAGAGTTTGGTCAGTCCATGGAACTGATCTAAAAAGGTAAAACAGGCCAGTGTGTGACTGCTGAGAACACTGAAAATCTCTAACGGAGGTGAAGGACTTTGCGTGTGCGGGTCAGCGATTTACCGGGCAGTTCCTGAGGTCCCCGGTGGTGCTGGCCGCCTGGAGCAGCTCCCCAAATGTGTCGGGCCGGAGTCTCTCGCTCTTCTCCAGCACACACTCCACCTGCTGGCTGGGAGGCCGGAATGCAGAGAGAGCGGTGTGCGTGTGGCTGTCGCCGAGGCCAGCGGTACATAGGGGGCAGCGCGACAGGAGGGGAAACGAGGCCTACCAGAGGGCTGTGGTAGAGACGTAGTGCACCAGCTCCGTGAACGGCAGCGGGTCCGAGGACGCCCCGCAGCTGCGGCACACGGACTGATGGGGACCGTCGAAAGATAAAGGTGCGTTATTGCATGCTGGGAACAGCAGGGAACAGGAGGTTTACAAGGGGGAGGTGTCTCAGCGGGTTAGGTTGCGTGCCGGTGATTGGATGGTTGCCGGTTCAGATGGCGCTTACGAACTATTGGGGTCGTGTCCCCCTCAGTATTTAATTTGGCTTCATTCATCCACACGATGAACAGACCTTTACATATAAATCATTACATTGTCAATATCAAACTCTCTCCTATACCATTGAGCAGAGTGATTTCACAGTTGAGTCCCTTAGCGTGGCCCTTAACCCTCATCCCTGCTGGGACCGTCTGACCCTGCTTTTTCAATTGTACGTCGCTTTGGATACAAGTATCTGCTGAGTAAATAAAATGTAAAGGTACATCCATTTTAGTACAAAACTTCCCATAAACTTCCCATAACAATAATAAACCTTAATCGTCAAGCATCATTCCCTTTATAACCTTGAGTGATAACAGCTCTTTATTTGTTAGAATTTGACATGCCTGAAATATTTTATCCAAAGCAATTTAAAATTATTCATATTATTCAGATTAAATAATTGGATCACACGTTCTACCCAGTTCTGCACTTGCACCCATTCATGGCCTACGGTCGCGCTCAGAGGAGGAGTTTGAGTGCCATTTCATTGTTTGCAGAATGACCACAAAAACCATTTGTTTTGCATAAGGACAGTGACTGATGACTCGAGATGGGAGTGCGCTCACAGTGTATATGTAAACCACTTGAGTTGGACATGTGCTGTTTGCATTTTAGCACATGTGCCACTTGACATTATTTAGTTTCAGTTTCATTGCAGTCTTCTCACGTAGACTGTTTCAGTCGGCAAATGCTATAATGTTGCCACTGTGGTCTAAGATTCAGGGCACATTGACTAGTGACTCTTTGAATTAGGTGTGTGAATGACTCGGGATATACCAACATCGCGGGAATTGTGCACCTTCCCTGGAGTCATTGGTGTGTGAATGACTCGGAATATACCAACATCGCGGGAATTGTGCACCTTCCCTGGAGTCATTCATGTTAATGTTTTCCTCAGTTATCTAAAGAGCCCCTTTTTTGTTCATGTTTATGTTTGTGTGTGTGTGTGTGTATGTGTGTGTGTGTGGTGACCCTGTACCTGTCATGTCCCCATCACTCTTGAAAAGAAACTCCCATGGCCCCAGAACCCGCCGTTCCCTGCCAACCTCCCCTATAATGTCATTCTGTTAACCATCCACAGTGATTCTCTCCCTCTCGCTGTCTCTCCCACTCTCTCAAACATACACTGCCTCTATTAGATACATGTATAGTCTATCCCTGTGACCTTGTACTGCATAAATGAAAGATTGATGAAGAGTTGCTATAAATACGAATATGAAGGCAGAAAATAAACAAATTTCAATAATTAAAAATACATGTTAGACACGACAGCAGAAAGACAAAAAAATCATTATAATCCTCAGGAATTTTGCCTCGGAATATGTCTACGTGCTGTGCAGCATCACAATATATGGATACATAAAAATGAACTAAAATTTCACTCTACAATATTTTAATCTATGTATATCTTTTAATCTATCGTCTATGACTGGTCTTGACATTTGGCCTATGGTCTATTCTCAGTGTATTTGGTCTATTTTCCATAGTCTATGACATTTCATTGGCATTTTAAGTTTGAAAAAATCAGAAATAATTGTTTTTCATATTCTTAGCCAATAAAACAGCATTTTATGTCACAATTATCAATCCAAGTCATACACATACTACATCTGGACAGTTAATTAATGCACAAAGACCGGTCCCCTGTTGTAATCGTACCTGTTCATAGAGAGTCATGGCAAACTTCTGATGCGTGATGCAGGACTTTGATGTACAGGTTTCCATTCCAATGTCAGAAACGATGTGTAAGTGAATCCTCTCAAGAATGTTCTCCTAAAACACAATAATAAACACAACAATATGATGAGCAGATTTTGACGCTATTTCACCAAAACAGTTTTTACACTCAGATTAGCAAAATGTATCCAGTTGCTTTTTTGTTTGTGACAAAGATCTATTTTCCATCATCTTGGATTGAATACTGATTATCCAATAAAAGGGATTATGAAACATTCCATTTTGAAAGCATGACCTGAGGTAGCAATTTGGCTAGCAAACTGTAAATCCAGGTCATTTTAAAATGCATTTATTGTACAGCCGTGTCCAAAAGTTTTGAGAATGACACAAATATTAATTTTCATAAAGTCTGCTGCCTCAGTTTTTAAGATGGCAATTTGCATAAACTCCAGAATGTTATGAAGAGTGATCAGATGAATTGCAATTAATTGCAAAGTCCCTCTTTGCTATGAAAATGAACTTAATCCCAAAAAACCCATTGCATTCACATGCAAGGATATTTCTGCTAGTGATATTGTACCTAAATCAACCATTTACTGGATTATCAAGAACTTCAAGGAGAGAGGTTCAGTTGTTCTGAAGAAGGCTTCAGGGCGCCCAAGAAAGTTTAGCAAGTGCCAGGACCGCCTCCTAAAGTTGATTCAGCTGCAGGATTGGGGCACCACCAGTGCAGAGCTCACTCAGGACTGACAGCAGGCAGGTGTAAGTGCATCTGCACGCAAAGTGAGGTGAAGACTTGGAGGATGGACTTGTTTCAAGAAGGGCAGCAAAGAAGCCGCTTCTCTCCAAGAAAACACATCAGGGACAGATTGATATTCTGCAAAAGGTACAGAGATTGGACTGCTGAGGACTGGGGTGACGTCATTTTCTCTGATGAATCCCCTTTCCGATTGTTTGGGGCATCCGGAAAAAAGACTGTCCAAACTAAAAAAAGGATTGTGGACAAATAAAAACCCACAAATTCTGACAAACTTCAAGCATTGATTATGCAAATATGGGCTGCCATCAGTCAGGATTTGGCCCAGAATTTGATTGACAGCATCCCAGGGGGAATTGCAGAGGTCTTGAAAAAGAAGGGCCAACACTGCAAACATTGACTCTTTGCATAAACTTAATGTAATTGTCAATAAAAACCTTTGACACTTGTGAAATGCTTGTAATTATACTTCAGTATCCTATAGAAACATGACAAAAAGATCTACAAACGCTGAAGCAGCAAATTTTTTGAAAACCAATGCTTGTCATAATCAAAACTTTTGGCCACGGCTATAAATGCATTTAATTACATTAGCTGGGAATTTCTCAGTTACCCAAATAAATACTTCGGCACCAAAAAGATTAATAATCTGCTCTAGAAATGAAGCAGGGTGGAAATAAATTAGCAAGCGAAAACAGGTCTCCTTTCTCAAATGCAAAGAACAACCTCATGAAGCCTGCGCAGAACTTGTGATTGTCCCTCACGGCTCCCTGTAGCCTAAGAAATAGCTTAAGCTACGCTTTCCAGAAAAGGAGTGGTATCCAGAGCTCTGTGCATTCAGCCAACTGCGTTGCCAGGGAGCTAAACCTGCTTAGTAAGTCATTCTGAATGCGCTTCGCTTTGGGTCTGAAGAGAAGAGCCGTAATGATCAGACAGATGTTCCTGATGCCTGCACTTCGTTCTAAACACATGATGGCAGACTGTCAGATTGCCAGAGCTTCCCTGTGATTTAGTTACTTACTTTCTGTCTTAGTTACTGTAAGGGAGATGTCTAGAAGGAGGGGTTTCCATAATAAGATATGCCCCCTAGAAGCATATACTGGAATGAATGCTCAAGGGAGATGGAGACATTTTGCAGTGTTTGTTTTATCTTCCTCTACTTTAATCCTGATATTTATGCATAAGAATCCCTAAATCCTTCCTGAATTGAAGCTGCTGAGAATGGAGGATTCTCCAGACCATACACAATATAAACACAATGATGTTCTGCCACGGATGCTCATCTAGGACTGCTGGCAGTCTCGTCGCGACCTGTCTCCCCCACGCGGGTCATTATCTACCTCTCCGCCACGTGGTCCCTGACTTTTATCTTGAATCCAATAATGATTCACTCTGTGCTGATTAGCTCAAGCCAATAGAGCAGCTATTCCGGCTGAAATAATCATCAGCTTGCGGCTCGAGGCCGGTCCATGACCCCGAATCTCGACGTACTGCAAAGGCGACGAACGCTCCACATCACCGGCGTGAAGACGACAAAGCCAGACTTCCTTAAAGCCACCTGTTATCTTCAAAACATATCCTGCTACCACGGCAGTAAGAAAACGCACGGCTCAACAAAAGCTCTATGCTAACATTCTTCTCCTAACATCATTACCATAAAGCCGTCATCAAATCGTTGTAGGATTTAAATACTATCTCGGCTCTGACATTTTAATTTTCAAGACCGATCTGATGGTCTCGTTCCAAAAGATCCTGGAGTAGTTTTTAACAAAGAGTATTAGTTATATTGAAAAAGGCCGGTGTTTTACCAGTGGGTTAACCCAAACAAATGTCAGTGAGATTTAGGGTTTCTGTTCTGTGATTCATTTAAGTGATGTCAAAGCTACAATAAAAAAGACTAAGACTACTTTTGTTTTGTCATAATGGGAAATGAAATGATGGGGATTACTGCAACGATGCACCCAGCTGAATAGTTCCATGCAGGTCAGTCGATAATACTCAATGAGTATTTATTGACAGTCCCCTAAAACACACTCAGCCTCTGCAGATTAAACCAATATTGTTTTTTTTTTTATATAAAGCAGGCCTGTTTCCAGCAGCAGAGCAACAGATCGGCAACAGTGATGATACAATTTGTCTGCGTGCGAGATCCCCACAAGTTTCCCGTGAGAAAATACTTTATACCCTGTTCAAAAAATTGTGTAATTGCAATGGTGGCTTCCAATATGGTTTGGATAGACAGATCAGAACAATTGAATAACGGGAAGACCTACATCTGCAGACTAGATGTCCTCGAAAAAAAACCAAACAGCATAGCTTTAAAGTTACCATGGAAACCGTAGCAAAAAAATGTCACCTGTCCTTGTCAGAGATAAAGGTTTGAAAGAAACAGGTGCCACATATAGGGTGGGCTCTAAAAGAATCTGTGATACTTTCTTTGCCACATTGTTAGTGATTTCTGTCTAAGACAAGTACAAGGCACTACATTTAATTAAACAAATTACATAAACAATTGGTCTCCGATTCAATACTTCCATGGTAACCCCAATACCAAACTTTGATGAAGAAGTTTATTACCATTGTGAATGCTTACTTGGGATCTTTGGAGGGATCATTAAAAACAAAGTGTTCAGTTAGTGCCGTTATAGTAGCTTTGTACTTGTGCCTTCACAGGGTTGGTAGGAGCGACGGAGAGGAGCTGCAACATGGCGATTGCATAACACGCAGTGATAACCATCGCTAGTCCCGGCCAGAACACTCCATCTCACAAGTGGGCCGCCCTCTGGCTGAGACTGCCCTGAACCAGTACGACCCAGCTCCCCAGACCGGCTGCCGAGGGGCAGTGTTGGGCTTGCTGGCTGGCGCCGCGGGAGAGACGGACTCACAAAGCACTCGGCCGCGTCGTCCATTAGGCCCAGCTGGAAGCGCCGCTCGTCCTTGAAGGTCTCAGCCAGGGCATGGCGCAGGTTGTCCGAGGGGAGCGCCCTCTCCCGACTGTGCTGGAACTGCGTGAAGATGCTCTGGGGGGGACCATGAGGCACTCGAGTCAGCTTCATAAGCCAATTACCGACGGGCTTCCAGATGGCTCTCTGGATTCGGCCAATAGAATCAATCCTCACATCACCGGCTGATGACTGAGCTGGAATCTGTGTGCACTGGAGCACTAGTCATCAAGCCCTGGCACATACATTACCATTAAACTCAAGTAACAGCACAACATAACCCTCACTGGATGGATACCAAACAAACGACGCTACAGCTCAAAAACGGAAGAGATGTTTACATACCTTCAACGCACAAAATATGCAGGCATCCCCAAGACAGAAGTGTCCTGGGAGTTGTCTCAAACTCCGCCTAAAGATGTCCAGCTGCCATAACACCTGCAGGTGTGGCAGGAGTGAACACTATGTTAGTGTCCTTGTCACAGAATCTGTGGACAAATTTAGCCCCGTCGTCGTGCTTCTCCATGGAGACACACAGGTGTACATGCATTCATTCATTCGTTGCCTGCGCTTATTACTGAAAACGGTATTCATGTCACAGACAGGTATCGCCACAGGAAGTCCTAAATCCCCGTGGACGATTCTTAGAAATGAACGCTAAGCTGATTGCCACGCTTCCATCACGTTTAGCCCAAATAAAGCTCGACGTATCAGTGGAGGAGCTCAAATAAAGGCTGACCTTTTGTGGAGGACGGAGGGTGGAGAAATGGCACGATTTGCCCTTGAGTACTGCTTGACAAACTTTCGACTCAGTCGCACAGCCTGAGGTTAAGATCAGCACAGCGGGGCGATGCTTCATTTCACGACGCCGGACTGACGAGCTCCGCCGGCCATGGATGCCTCACTGCGACCAGTTATGGCTTACAGCCTCGAATATAGACGCACTTTCCTGCCTATAATTTCCAATCATTTTTCAGCAACCCTGACCACCTCTTTTATGCTACACAAAATGTAGGCTTCCTCCTAAAATAAGGATCGTGGCCACCAGGTAGGAGGACCTCTTACGTATTCCAGATTAACCTCTGATGTCAGTGGAAAAGTATCCCACTGCATCGTGACAGACGGCCCATAATCACCTACGGTCTCAGCATCGTCAAGTTGGATCATAAGCACCATGAAAAAAATGGATCCCTACGGCGAACAGCATGCGCAACCGAAATCCTTCTAGAAAATCCTTTCTGCAGTTTCCTCTCATACATTTTTTCTATTTGCCGGGGGATTTTGTAGTGTATCCCTCAAATGCAACCTATCCTTCAAAACCAAGGCACTGGCCCTATCTAGAGGGCTTTTAGGCCTATTGTTGTTATGGTCAGTCGATCTCTGTTGTTGTCGTGATGAATTTCTACATGTTCGGGTTGCTGTGAGACAAGGCAGCAAGGGGAGAGTGAGAACAAAGAAGACAATCAGCCCTTGGATGGTGAGGCAGACCTACCTGCACAGCACTGTTGAGAAAGCAGCTGTTCTGCCCAGGCTCATTGAGCAGACCCTTGGTGAGAGCCAAAGACACCATACTTCCTGGCTGGTAGGATTTGCCGATGTCGCTCACTGGCTTCTTGAAGAGCTTGACCCATGCCATGAGAGAGTATCCCTGGTGGGGGCAGAGTCAATGGCCGGCGCAAACAGGCCGGTCTGTTGGTATGTCTGGGCCGGGCGTTGAGGGGGACATTAGCAAAGAGGATCCAAGGAAGGTTTGTGACAGATTACCAGTATCCACCCCTCCCTCTCTGGAGGGGCCACGAGGTCTGCTGGTGGCGGTGAACTTTAGCAGCCAAGAATAGCTACAGCAGGTCTGGGTGGCGGCTCCGGGGCTCAAGACCACGGCTGTGTGTCACCCAGAGGCTCCATCCCAAATGTCGGTCCCCCTCCCACGTCTTCCTGTGTCCAGCCACATAGGAAAGGGGCTGTGGGCTTGTACAGACATTGCACTGCATCCCTCTGAACCAGGGGGTGTCAGCGAGGGTCATGTCCAGGCTTCGGCCTGGCAGCCTTGAGCATTTTACTTCGATAGCCCTGGATCTACCGAAAAAAAAGGACAAATCGATGAACATGCAAGTAACCGTGCAAAAGTAGCATCCTACTCAACAGTGTTCTCCTTCTCTAATTTAATTAAGCAACAGCTTAATCAGATTATACATTAGGTCCACTTTGTTAGCTGTAATTACGTAGCATAAATCTTCAAACAGTCACACCTCAACCTGATACACACGTCGTTATGAATACCAACTTCATCCTTTCAACTGGCACTAGATACACGTGACCTTCTATTCATTCGTGCCCTATTAGTGCAGCAGTGTCTATGACCCCATGAGCCCAGAACGTCTGCATCTGTAGGCAGGGGCGCCGCTAGAGATTTTGGGCCCCATGAAAGCATATCATATTAGGCCCCCCAGTCCAAACCAATCCAGTTATTTTCCTAATTTTTTAGGGCCCCTGTCACTCAGGGGCCCTTGGAATCGTCCTAGCTTTCCTCCCCCTTACGGCGCCCCTGTCTGTAGGACGTCAGTCCATCGCAGAGCACACGCTCCCATGCATATTCACAGGGAGAACCTAAGCAGCACTGAACCCAGAGCTTTGGCAGCTCGTGTCCATCTACAGCGGCCTTTTAATTCAAAAAACGCAGCCAAACAAAAAGGATATAATGGTGTTAGAGCATCGAATCCAAAGCAATGGCCCGTATTCATTACGTGACAGTGACAGCTCGGGTCCATTACATAACCCTATATAATTACATTATTTCCCTAATCGGTAAGTGTTATTCAGTCCACATAGGGCTTTTTCCATCCAAGCTGCAGGATATCGTCGTTGACGCAATTACGGCTAAGCGTGTAGCCCAAGGGCACAGGAAGGGGGGCCCTCAGAGGAATCGAACCCGCAGCCTTTTGGTCACAATCCAGATGTTTAACTACAATATTACCTGCTGCGTGTTTTGATGAGGTCACATTTCAATCATCCGTCCCCTGCCAGTCAATAAAGGACATCGCCTGGCATGCCGTAATCTCACTCACTTCGGGAGGAGAGTTTTGGACGAGGTTCCCGGCTAAAACGTCGTGTCACCCTTTGCCCAAAACTGCTGAGTTGAAAATTAGCAATGCCCGGGAAGAGCGCCAGATCGAAATATCGCCGAGTTGCTTTCGGCCGCTCCTCCGGACTCGGCCAACACAATCAGTCAAGGCTGCGCTGCAATTTCTCTCTGATGTCTGAGTCAGAGATCCATGAATCACTTCAGAGCCGTAGCGAGTTAGACCTGTAACAACAGGGTAATAAAGGTAATATGAAAGACTAAGCTAAACAGCCGTTTGCATCTCATTTCCAAATTGGCAAACATAAAATGCATAACCTGATCTCCACACTGGTGAACGATCCCGGGGCCGGTGGTGCAGTGGTGTGTTACACGATGCCCGGACACTTTTCAGGGTTTCCATTCGAGGTTATATGGGTCACTTTGGGTGATAAACACCTGCTAGCCCCGTTCACGTCACCAGCAGCCTCTGAAGGTTAATTTTGGTGTGTAATGGAATTAGTCAAGGGGTATTAAGCAAATTATAATAAGTATCTAAAAGGGTGTCCCATATGCTATGGAGGAGCCCTTGTGGGCCCATGACCCAGAGATTTTAGCGATGCGGTGATGTTTACCTAGTGATGCAGGGTAAAGGAACCACGTGCTTTGCACCTAATAATAATAATAATAATAATAATAATAATAATAATAATAGAAATAACCACCAGCTGTGCCCAATCAGTTATACAAAAGCTATATACTTCATGCATTGTTCCATCCATCCATGCATCTTCTAACGGCTTTTCCTGGTTAGGGTCTCACGAAGGTCTGGAGCCAATCTCAGGCAGAACAGGAGGAAATCCTAGTGCACACCCCGGATGGGTATGGGCTCTCGTAGCGGCAAATGGAGGCACGCTATCAACAAAAAATGAAACTCTCGGAGCGATGGCGTTTTAAGAAAAAAATTGGGGCATCAGCGGGTTAGTAAGACATTAAACTGTTATTCTGTCACGCCTTTCATCTCCGTCTGCTGGCGTGTAAGACCTTCCTGAAGAGGGTGCATGTTACACAGAGAGTGTCAGTGCTGCTTCTGAGTAAGACCCACAGACTTAGCTCTGCATCCAAACATATGCCAGCTAGCTACATTCATTAGCCTGTGTCCTTGTTTTGTCGCTAGAAACAAATGGAAAAGCTCTTTCTATGTGACAAAATCCAGCATAACGGGCAAAAACCTCTTTTGAAGGAAGTAATGAATTGATTTTATTACTCCTAGTACTGCTAAATCGCTGAATATAATAGGCCCAGTAATGTCTGACAACAACAAGAATAACAACAATAATAATAATAATTATAATAATAACAATGTAACAGGCAGATTACACAAATGTCCAGTTCAAGCTGTTTCTTCAGCATGCAGCATTCTTGGTTGTCTAAATATTAAAAATGAAAGGTCCAAAAGTGTTTATGCTAAAAACAAAGACGCATCAACCATCAGATGGAGCATCCGTCACTATTTCGGCCAACAAACGCCAGTGATCAGTGTAAAAAGACACACATTTGGCTCTACACGTTTACTAATACTTTACACTTTTTGTACTACACCCCTTTAATATTCTGACAATATACCAAGAAGTGGGGCGTTTCAGAGCAACTTGCAGGTTTTAAAAAATATATAATAATCCAAACACATTTATCTCGGTATTTTACTATTTCATTTTACTACGCAGATATGGATATTTCCAGCACGCACAGACGTACGTCAGTATCACGATATAGTCTAATATATGAGAGCTTTGTATTTTTTTTTTCAATTATCATTTTATGCTGCATTGTAATAAATATAGAGCTATTATCTTCGTATTGTAAACAGAATAAAATACTACCGATTTGTCATTCAAGATTATTTTATTTCACTTCACAAAACAACGTATTCGTTTACTTTGATTTAAGATTGTCAAAACCTCAAATTAAATGATCAGACATACGATATAAAAAAAAACGTGAAAAGTACCTTAATCACTTACTGTACAGAGCTGAACGCTGGACATCAGCACCAGCTCTAGAGCATTTTGGTGTATATGATATACTACGCTTATGACCAACTGCTGTATACTTCCATTAAATATTATAAGACTGATAATATTATATGTAAATAAATACCACAGTAAACAGCTAGAAAACGATTAATAAGAGTCCATAGGACGGACCTACACACTCACTCCAATTGATAAGGTACATTACACCTGTTAACATATACTTCATGATCGGTCTCCAGTTAATCGGCTATAGTACTAGTATTCAGGGGATGATACTAGTATTGGTTTTACTAGATGTAGTCGAACTAAATCGGCTGGTGAAAAAGTTTACGACGTAAAAGCGAGGCGCACTCACCGCTCACCGCCGAGCCAACGGGGCTGTGCGGTATTTTCCGACGGCTTCGGCTGCACTTCTCCCGGTGACACGGACAGAAAGTCCCGGCGCGTTTGTACCAAATTCAGATCGGAAAAAATCGGGAGCTTCGCATTAAATAAAGTAATAATAAAAAATTAAAAGCATTAAATAGTGAGACTCTTTTCCGATTTTGCCCGAAAGAGCAGCAGGGGCTTTTGCTTTCAATCTGCACCTGTGATTTTCACGGTGTGACAGGAGGAGAAGCCGCAAAAGCGACGCTCGTCGACGCTCCGTACCTGAGTGACGATCCGCATGATGTGACGATTGATCGGCAGGTTTTCGGGACTCGCGTCCTTAGCGTCGCTTTATTACGGGCTGTGCGGACAGGCGCTGCGCCGCGCTCCGGAGTCGCTGCTGGGTGAGTGATGTTTCGGGGGCTGCCGATGAGGTCAAACCCCGCCTCCGGAGTACAGTATGCTGCAGTCCCTCACCGGGCAGCCGTTATATTCACCGGCCATACTGTAGAAAGGCTTCCTCCCAGTCGTTTCACTGATCGCCCAGGTAGGACAGCCCGTTCTCCCGGAGCAGGGCGCCCATCCCGCTCCGCCGCTCCGCAGCTGGCAGATGTCGCTGGGAACCCTGCGCCATATTTGCGGCGTTTACCTCTAATCATCCGTGCTCGGTGATTAATAGGTGCAAATCAGGCAAATAACGTTATATAAGACACGCATTACGGCAGCGATTTTCATACAGATGCGGACACGGATGAGAGTAAAGCAGAAACTAAAACGCCTTTATCACAGAATTATTGTTAATATATTACTATTTCTTTCATATTGTGGCAGCGCGGTTAATAAGAGCCCACATGTTTAAAAGGCCTTTAAATATACAGCGTTTTATTGTTTTAGTGTCACTTTGCAGAGTAAATTTTGAACAGTAGGAATAAAGCGTATTGATTAATGAAACAGTGATTCCTTTCATATGGAACAAATCTCTAGCACAAATACCTGCATAACACTATTATTATTATTATTATTATTATTATTAGTTGCAGTATACTTTAATAGTTATATTATTAATCATCACTCTTGTTTTGTTTATCAGAAATGCACTTTCTGAGATATTATTACACAGCACACTACCTGATTATGAATAAAAGTAGTTCTGACATACAATGTAGGCCTATATGTATTTTTTTTTTTGGGGCCGGGGGGTGATACTCTGTGTAACAAGTTGACTAGCTTTATGCAATTCCACTGTTTCCCCGTCTTATTATTTAATCAATCAATGACATGTTTATTTTTAAATACTCCTACTTCTCTGCAGGGCATAATAATAGTATAGTAATAATTAAGTAGCCTATTGCGGGGGTGATACAGCACGTGCCTGTAAAATATCCTCGATAGGTTCCCAGCTGACCCGCTTCACATATTTCTCCTCCAGCGTATCATTAATCTCGGTTTTAAACAACTGTAACGAGTATCAACAATTTACGCGTGGTGCCAGTCAACTCGCAGGTTTCATCTATAGTTTGGCGACGGGGTTTTATGTGGATAACTAATGAAGGCTATCATTTATTCTCGGGATCATTTGTTTCAAATTGATCTTCTCATTAAACTGGGGGATTAAGAGTATTGCAGCTGCTGATGCTCTCATCCCTGTCCCTTCTAAAAAGAGATCCGTAAAGGATGATTCACTAGGCAGCCGTACTCACACTCACCGTGGACGGCGTGGCTCCTTTGAACATCTGTGGATCCGAGCTGCGGGTCAAAACTTCTCAACTTTGAAATAATTCTGGTGAATCGCTGAAGCGTCGCTGTGCCCCGCTGCACCGATTAATTTGTTATAATAGCAAATCTACTTGCTCTAGAAGCCTGCCAGTCTCGCTGGCTGTGTGCAGAGACTGTGTGATACCTCCACTATAAAATACATTATGCAAATTCGCCAAATGAGAACTTTTAATTAGTACGGTGCAAAATTTTTTTTTACTGCAAATGTAGGAAAGTTAATTACATAAACATGCATGTCTATTCATCCATCCATCCATCCTTCCATCTGTCCATCAATTTATTAATGCAATATCAATATGTTTTTTTATTTTGATTCCAAGCTGAAGACAGATGTCATAAAAAAAAACAGGTGAACATGTGGCTGTTAGTGGAAATGGTGAGACTTGTGAAAACACGACTTAGATACAATCTATGATTCTGTGACCCAAAAACCAGCAATCAGTTGGAGCTTGATGAGACCGAAAGTTCCCTGACCTCGATGGACCCCATGCACAGCCAAATCTGTTTCCAGATGCATGTTACCCTGAAGGCCATTTGAAGGAGACCGAGGCGATGTCTCAGGGACTTCCAGAGATCGCTAGGTCTGTATATGTTTCCCGTAATTAGTTCTTCCTCATGGTCAAACGACCAATGTACATGTCAAGAAAACCATAAAAAGCATTAAAAATTATATCTGTAAGCCAATTAAACAGAATAATTGCAAAGCCTAACAATGTAAAAACAAGGCTTGATGTAACAAAGCACCAAACAAGCTTGATGGGCCGAATGGTCTCCTCTCGTTTGTAAATATCTTATGTTCTATGCGCTATGTCAAGTTACACTCCCTGCAAACTCACTGTGTCTGGCAGTCTGATAATGATGGTTGTTGCATTTAGTTACTTGCCAGCGGTAACCTTTCCATGCTAACCTGGGATTCTGGAGCATCCGTTTCCCCTTGGTCGATTGGTTGAGCCGTTCAACTCGACCAATCGTGTACAGTGCCACATCCGTTCCGTCGGTTTATATAAACTGCAGCGCTGCCTTGCGGTGTAATGAAGAGGAATGAGGCGACAAGCAACGTTTGAGCTCACCTTCCTCTATCCTCGCATTCACCTTGTGTCCTATTGATGTCCAATGCAACACTGTGACCTCACAACTCCAGGGCAAGGGGCTTAAAATCCCAGCTCTCCTCTGTATACTTGTGTGGAGCTTCCATATTGTATGGATCTTCTCCATCAGTCCAAAAAAAACCAAAAAAAAAAACTGCAGCAATTAATTGACTTCTGTCAACAGTAGACTGATAATGAAGTTGACCTTCTCACGGGAAGATTGTCTTCGTGTCAATGCACTTGTGTGAAAACGTTTAAACACGTTGGAAACGGGCAGTCATCTCCCATGGGACTGTTCTTTACGGTCATGGTTTTAAAGTCTGTGATCAGTGTGTGCTGGGAAAAAGACATCAGACTTCGACAGTGCCGTTTGCCGACAAAGTTTATTTTCACAGCATATCTAGAGAGAAAATTTATGCATAGCCCATTTCACATGACCCCCAGTGTCGCGCTGGTGCCCTAGAGGCGAAATAAATAGAAGCAGATGAAAAATTCAAATTCAGATTTAAAACTCATAATGTGAATCACGTTATGGTGCCAGCCAGTCTTGTTTATACTTACTGATTGTTTTTTTCTCTATTCCCTACAAGCGATCAGTGTTAACATCCATTAACTCACTGCGTTTGGAGCTTGGATGGAGATAAACAGCTTTTTATTGTTTAATGTTGTTGATTTTTAGCATGCATTTGTTTTTTGCTTACCAATGTAGCAATGTTTATTTTCTGTATATATGTAATAAAGAGCACTTTGGTACCAGTTCCAGTCTTTATAGGTCTAATCAGATCCACCTATATCTATGTTCAAGGCACAATTCACGTTCGTGAAAGACGTATAGTGAACTAGCTTATGCCATAAATGAACACTGCACACTCAGGTCCATAAAGTACAAATCCATACCAAGCTTTTGTTTCAACCAATCAGTTGAGTACTCTGTGACTGTGACTCTTTATACTCACCTGGTTGGTTGAAATAAAACCTTGGTCTGGATTTGTACTTCCTGAACCTGAACTTTCCACCTCTGTGTTCAGTGTATGGGTCTTTATATGTAATCTGTGGGTCTGTGTGTATATTCTATTGTAAAGCTAAAACCAGCGATAAAATAGTACTAACTGCCGAAGTCACACAGCATTCAACAACTGGACAAACATTCATCTTCTACAATAAAATATAAACTAACAGTTTAGCCTGTTGGTTTTGAAGCTTTAACTGTATCAATTCGTATTTACAAGTCAGCCTGATATTTGACTGAATAAAAATTTAGCTCATGTAATTTAGCTATTTTGTTGAATTACTCTGAATTTAAGATCTAAAGTATACAATCATTCCCCTGATAAAGCTCACCATCCAGAAGACATGAAATGATAGCATGCTGATCTGGTCACATCCCAGTAGGTGGCGCACATCATGAACTGGCATGGCTTTCACACGGCCTGCCTTTGTGGTTACATGAAATCGTCCTCTGCAGTCACGCAGTTCAGAGATCGTCGGATTCGGGGATGGCCACGGGCTCCAGAGGCACGGTGGGTATGATCAGGGGGACGCCGTCAGAAATCCAGCCCTGTGCCGTCCTGTTGAAGGTTGGCCGCTTGCTTCTGGGGTCCTGGAGCTCGGGGTACTTGGGGAGACTCAGATCCATGTCGGGCAGCTTGAACGTGATCCCTCTGGGGGCTTTGTCGAAACCCCCGAATGGAGTGGCTACCCTGGATGAGGGAAGAGCAGATCGCCGTCAAACCCGGGACCGCGGCTCGAAGCGGCACACTCCCGTTAAAAATGCGATAATAGCGCAGTGCTGCACTGGTCTTTGAACACCCACACAACAGGACAGCTTCATTTCCACATCCCTCAAAGCAAGAGGTGAGACGCAAAGCGAGTCAGTCACTGGGGTCCATAGCCCATCCTGGAGGCTACAGGCGCAAAGCATGGAGCAACCAAGGATGGGGCACCAACCCGTTTGCGAGCCACACACACCATTCGCTCACACAAGTCCCCCCTACGGGCAGTCTGATAACTCCAATTCACCTCAGCATGTTTTTGGACTGTGGGAGGAATTTTAGTCCCAGAAGATAGAAATCCAGACCAATTTCTTGTTTCAACCAACCAGCTGACTATAAAGAGTCACAGAGTAGTCACCTGGTTGATAGAAAGAAAATCTTGGTCTGGATTTGTAGCTTCTAGACTTGATATGCCCAACACTGGAAACCAGAATACGCAGAGGAAACCCCACAATGGTATGGGGAGGACATGCAAACTCCACACACATGACACTCGAACCCTGGTCCCGAAGTTGGTGCTACCAGGGAATGAGACTGTGCATTTGGTCTTGAAGCCAAAACATGGAAATTTCCATGCTGAATAAATAAGTACAACTGCATGTATCTGAAAGGAATTACACGGTTTCTCTGGGAGAGTAGTTCTTGCTGTAGCCCAGTGTTTTCCAACCTTCCTTGCATCCTTGGGAACCCACAGATGGTGCATGTCCTCCCAGGGAGGGAGCAAAAACGTGGACCGTCTATGGCTGGAATGGGTGTCATACCTATTAAAGCTCTTGTAGTCTGGCATCTCTGGCTGGGGCTCAGGGACCGGCATCTGGGCGTGTAGCGTTTCGGCCAAAGCGGGGTCGTGGATGATTGCCTGCTCCCAGGGGGACTGGTACGACTTGGGGACAGCTGTGGTGTTAAATTTCTCAGGAGGAACATCCTTCAAGGGGCCGCCGTAACCTACGAGCCGGGCCGTTCATCCGTGACCGTCAGACGCTGTCGACACGCTACCACTCACGCGACACCTGTGTTTCACCCTCGAGCTCCGTAAACATGACCTTGGCGTGACTCAAGGCCAGTCCATGCCCCCTAAGCCCAAATCCCAGGCTCTTTTTTAACTCCACTGTTGGCTTGTAAGATAAGACAAGATTAAACTTTCTTATTGTGCCAAGGCATAGTCTCGCCATGCAAGATTAAAACAAAAATCAGAGTTTAAAAATACCAAGTATAAAATCAAAATAATAATAATAATAACGATAATGATAATGCAATTTTAAAGACATATAAAAACAGTTTAAAAGATGGCATTTGTAAGATGATAAGTAGCTAAAGGAGGTGTGTTTAAGGATGCATCCAAGGCACTATATAAATATAGAAAAATACAGGATAACATATATGCAAAAGAATCAAACAGATCATTAAATAAATACTATTAAGATCAGAGTCCAAGATCGACGGGAAAAGCAGCTATGATCTAGAGCTGGAGTCCCACCCTGTGAGATTCCCTGCCATGTAGTGATGCACTCTGTCCAAATCTAGGAGGATGCACTCTGTTCTCTGCCAGGTACAGTATATCTAGGGGCAAAAGGAAGGTCTTATCTAGCCCTTGAGATAAAACGGGCTGCTTGTGTATTGTGTACAGTGTATTCTGGCCCGAGGAAAACATGGCCTTTTACAACAAACACGCAGCTGGTGACCTGCATCCTGCCCGCAGTCATGCGAGTCCCTATCCTGACCTTATTTCGTTATTACCTACAGAAAAACAACAACAGAAGCGCAAGAGCCGAAGGCCATGCCGGCGTGAGGGATTTGCCGGAGAGAGCGTCTTTTCATCTAGATGCCTGTCACAGCCTGTATTTATAGCCTCCTGCAATGGGAATGAACTCTGACTTTCTATGTCTTAAGGAAATTGAGTNGGGGGGGGTTGCAGGCTGCAAGACTAACAGGCTCAGCAAATTAATAGAGAAAAGTGCCGGTTACAGACTGCCCCTAACAATAATCCGCTAAGCACTGAACCACGCTGTGAGTCATCTGCACGTTGGTCCCATCCGCTGGAATTTACCGCCATTTCTGAAAGAGCAGTGCTGGCTACTGACTACTAGCTGTTAGTTCCGC